CGTGTCAAAATAATGAGTGTGGCAGAAATGGGTATGTTGAGATGGATAAGTGGAAAAAAAAAAAAAAAACTTAAAAGCATTGGATTAGAAATTAAATCATCCAAAGGAACGTAGGAATATCTATAATAGGCGATAAAATGAGTAAAAATAGACAACAATGGTTTGTTCACATGCATAGAAGATCATCTACTGCACTCATAAGAAAAGGCAACCTTGTTACATGTTCAAGAAACTAGAAGAATTAGGGGCAGACCATGTCTCAACTACTGAAATTGTAGTAGAACCAAATTTGTTCAATTGATTTTTCATTTTTGTGACCACATCTTTTATTCTCCCTACCAAATTATTCATGATCATTTCAATTATCCTATTTATTTAATATATGTATTTAATTATATTGGAATTATCGAAAAACGATTGAAAGAAACCATGAGAATTATGTGTCCATTTAAGTTTGTATGGAAAAAGAGTCTCTGGAGCTTGAGAAAGAATTGCCTATTATAGGAAAATTGGTTTGTCTTTGTTTAAAACTTTTTATGGGTGGGAGAAAACACCTTATATTCCACACAAATGGAATTTGCATTGGTTAATTTTGATCATCCATCAAGGGGCGGTTACTAATTCTAGCCACTTAACCATATTGATGATGGACATGACACCAAACAGAAAAGAATAGCAAAACAGGATTTGTGTAGCCAACCTCATATAATTGGAACAAGGCTTAGATGGTAATGGTGAGGGTTAGGGATGCTTTATGTATATAAATAAACAGGGCAATGAATGTTGTTAGTCATAGAGTTTAGGGAGCAAGAAGTAAACCATCCTTTTGAAGAAGATAATAAGTATTTTGGGAAAGAAATACTTCCATGAGGTCAGTTTACTCCTTCCCACCAGAGTGATCCCAAAAGCCTTTGTTATATCACCAACCGAGGTCTGGCTCATTGGTGTGTTAACTGGTTTCTTCTAGTGTTGATGCGGAATCAAATCCCGCAACCAGCACTTTGAGGAAAAAGGAGTAATCAGTGTCAACTCAGCACCAATGGAGTTTGAAATAACATTTCCTTCTACCAGTTGGGCATTTTTCATTGTTCATCTTATTTGGCACCTAATGACCCCTATCTATATTTATATGCTAAAATGCAATGTGCCAAGCTAGCACTTTCCTGCTCTATGGTTTATTTTCAAGRCCACTTATCTTTTTTTTGGTTTATCCTCAAAGGCAAATATTTATATTTTTTATTTTTTTGAATTTTCCAATTTTAAAATTAAACAAAATAATTCAAGTGACCAATCACCTTCAAGACTTTTAGCATAACCCATTAAAACACCATTAATTCTCTCTCTCTCTCTCTCCCTCCCATTAACTCTTTTAATAATTTCTCCTCATTAATTATGCCATTAACTCTCTCCTTTAATAAATCATGCCACTAATTCTCTCTCATCTCCATTTCTCCATTAAATTGCATAAAATTCATTAACTTTAGTAAGTTAATGAATATATTCATTTCCATTTCAATTTAACTACAATTATATGTATTAAACTATAATTATTAGTAAAGATTAATTATACTGAAATTGAGATATTATTAGTAGATTAAGATTAGTTATATTGAAAGTGTGCTAAATAATCTACTTCCATTTAAAACTATAATCCATTTATATTCCATTTGAAAATAATAAAAATTAAATAACCATAATAAAAATAATTTACTAAGTTAAATAAAACAAAAATAATTATTAATTATTATTATTGATAAAATATTTTCATTAGTATAATAAAAAATATTTAATTAATAAAAGGAATAAGATAAATTAAAAATGAATATCAATTTAAAATTAATAAAAAATTATCTAACAATTATTAGTTGTATATTTAAATTTTATTAATTTAAAACCAACTTTAAGTTCCAATAAAAAAAATAAAAATTTATATAGTTAATTAAATTCATAAGGAATTTAAATTTAATAAAACTGAATATACTTAAATAAATTAAATTTTTGCTAATTTAAAAATTAATAAAAAATATTTGTTTTAAAATAGCTTACTTATTTTAATATCAATTTAGATTCCATTTAAAAATAAGGAAAACTATAAAAACCTCATTAGGTTTTCTAACAACCCTATGAAACTCTCCAGTGTTTTGACCTTAACAATTTAAAACCTCCCCTAATGTTTAGAAAAAAGGTGCAAATACCTTCCTTTAGTCAGCATTCCAAATAAAAATTGTTGATGCAATGCATTAATTTTACTTCACTTCTACCTTTTCAAATTTGTCCAAGAACAGTAAGGAGAAATTTTCTTTGAAAGTTGACTAGAAAAATAAATTAGTGGAGGGTAAAGTTGAAGCTTTAAATATATTATGTATGATAATGCATTAACATTGATAAGGGTATTTTGGTAACTTTAATATCTTTGGTACCAAAGAGCCAAGGGAAAGGAGGTATTTGCACTATTTTTCTCAAAATTATAAGAAGGTCTTTGTTATGATTAGAACACAAAGGTGGTTTATAGAATTGTTATAAGAGGATTTTTTATAACTTTACCTAAAAATAATAAGAAAATAATAATAAACCAATAAAAAATATTTTTTCAAAAAAACTAGCATTAATAATTTAATATACAAAAAAATAATTCAAATTTATCTAAAAATAGGAAATTGGCCACTCTCACTAAAGCACAACTTAGATTGTGATCGGATAAACTAGGCATAACCCCAAAAACTAATTAATACTTGAATTGAACTTAGATGGACACCATTTAGATGAACCCATGCGATGCACAGGTCCCGACCAAGGATTAAAATATCGGTATTGAGTATCGTATCGGACCACTCAGATACGGATACGGATACAGATATGCTTTGGAAACGCATGGATACAGACGAAAAAATATGGATACACTAAAAAATGCATATAAATTCCATAAACATTATTTGTAAGATCAAAATAACCATAATTAATGTATAAATACATAGAAAATGTATATTCTAAAGGTATATGTGAAGAAATATACTACAATTAATATAATGGGATGAATAGAAATCATAAAATTTTATTGATATTGTATCAATCAAGAATTTTGGAACATATAATATATATATTTTTTTAAAATTAATACAAGCACAAAGCTATTATTATGTTATTTTCTATTGAATTTCAAGGCACAAAACATATGCAAATATTTTATGTGAATTATTATGTTGATTATTTTCTATTTTACTATTTTTAATTTTTAAAATTAACTGAAAATCAACTAAAAATTAATTCTCAAATGTTTAGTTAACAATATTTTTATTTTTGTAAACAATAAACACATTATTATAAAATGTAATTAAAATATAAATTAAAAATTTATAATAATATATAATATTAAGTTAAAATATATTAAATTTTCTAAGATACACATCATATGCAAATTCATAATTTTTAACTGCTAAAATAATTATTCCATATTAATATTTTTATTTTCATAAATTTTGAGATAAAAAAAATCATTTTTTGATATGTGTAGATTAATGGATTTGACAAATTCAATTTATATTATATTATTGAGGGTTTTGTAAACAATATTTTTATTTTTATAAATAATATATACTTTTATTTAGTTCAAATTAAAATATTAATTAATAATTTATAAAATTTTAAGATACATGTCATGTTCAAATTTATAAATATTAAGTACTAATATAATTATTCTATTATTAATATATTTTTTCGTATAAATTTCTTGAGATTAAACAAATTTCTTATATAAATGTGAATTTAAGAAATTATTTATTCTATTAGTTTATAAAATATTAGTTTTGAATATTATTTTTTTATTTTGCTGAAATTGTTAAACACAAATGTAAATTTTTTGCATCACATGTGGACACTAGAATAGAAAGAAGTTATTTTATTTTAATAAATTTCATAAGATGAGGATTGGCTTAATGGATCAAGCGTGCGCTTAAGGCTTTAGCGTTGGGTGATTTGTGTTTGAATCACGCTAGGTGCAACTTTATGAAAATAAACGCACGCGCAAGAAAACACCGAGTTGCCAATCCGTATCCCATATGTAACGTATCATATCAATAKTTAAATCCTTGGTCCCGACTAATATGCTATAAAAACATCAATCTCAATTTTGAAAGAGATGTCTCCATTTTGAAGAGAAAAGTAGTACAAAATGTTTAAAGATAAACTACAATTAAACTAAACAGCACCAGATTAGGTTCTTGTTCTTATTTTTATATATCATTAGTGTTTGGATTATAACTAATGTGTTGCACAATATGACTAAGAGTATCCATTTTTTGGATTTGACTCTCTCTCTCTCCTTCACACACTCACAAACTTTATGGCCAGTTGGCCACCTTTTAGTTGGTGAGTAAATATATGACGGAACATATATCTATCATCATTGGCTGTGTGGTTACAATCTTGGGATGTTTCCCAACATAGCTCTCTCCCTCTTGGTTATGTTATGTCACCTTCTAAAAATATAAGATGGAACTCATATCCATAATCCTTGATGATCCTCTGAGTCATGATTATCAAACCCTTCAATCAGTGGGCACCTTTTGATGAATCTTCTAAAGAAGCCAGATGACTTGATCCCTCCTATAATTGTCTGAAATGTAAACTTACACCTGATGATCAAAGTTTTTTACTATAAGATGATCAAAGTACAAAGGTTCATGTCCTCTGATCTACTCAATTCCTCCACTATGCACCACTAAATAAGCAAGCCTTCATTTGATCGTAGGATCCTGAATGAAATGGTGGGTAGTGTTCATCGAGGATGATAGACATTAGATGCATAATAATCGTCATTTTCCATTTTTTTTTCTTCCATCTCTGATCTCACCCCAACATGGTTTGACACTTTGACCGATAAAACGGTATGTAGGACTCTGATCTGATGAGCTTCTTTATGGCCTTGTGGTGATAGACTGACGAGAAAAAAAAAWAATAATATAACCCACGAATAAATAAATATTTTTTCTCATTTTAGTATTAAGAAGTTGGTGAAGACAATGGGTCCAGCTATGCTGTAATCTTCAGTTATAGAGAGGGGAGAAGAGAAAGGATCCCATTTGCCCTCACGTTTGATGCTTCTGCTGTTGGAGTGGTTGCTGTAGTTCTTCAGCTCTTACTGTTGTCCGTTATTTCCATTTGCAGACATAAAGACAAGCTTTCTATTTTGTGCCAAATTCATCCGACTAAAGCTTGAGCAACTCGATCTGAGTCTCTTGAGATTCTCTTCTCCCCGTTTCTGGTTCTGGTTTCGGCCAGCAATTTCATGAACTAATTTATAGATGAAGTTGTTATTCTGAGATGGAGGCCTCTCAGACATCTTCGAATGGGGAAAGAGGTGTTCGAATTCAAGCTCCATTGGTAAGTTCCTTCCATTCACTTCTGGTCATTCGACATTTATTCATCCAGCCCATGCGTTTTCCGAGAAACCCAGATCGAATTATTGGTGAATCTACTGTGTTTGATTGTATCTTTGGAATCTGGTGAAGATGTGTTAATTTGTTGGGTTTTTGTTCCCTTGTAGTTTTGCGTTTTTCTAACTATCGTTTCTGCTTACTAAAAGCCAAGTTTTTGTGGCTCTGTTTTTTCTTTTTTCAATCCTGAAGATAAAGTAGAAGGCTGCTACATTTCGCTGTGTTACTCTTATAACTGAGGTTTAGAGGTAGGAATATGGAATCCCTTTTCAGTTCGGAGATGGGTAGGTTGGATACCAGATCTATTTGTTTCTGGAGATGGATATATTCAAGTCTCTAGCTTCGGAGAGGAAATGGATCGGTTCTCTCATTCAGTCGGGGAGTAATGGAACTTATTGTTGGGGCGAATTATCTCAACTTTTGTTTCGTTTAGAGTTGGTTTTAGGTAAAGATTCGATCTTCTAAGTTCTTAAGCCCGGAGAATCGTTTCCCTACTCGGCTGCTTTTAACAAAATTCTTGTTTATACGTTTCTAGCTGGTTATTGTTTTACCCCTTTGTACATTGGGTTTTAGAGTTCCACGCACACTAGTTTCTGCTGGATTCGAGTATTTGAGCCATGCTTTTAGTTCTCTTTCCTTCTATTTGTTCATACGTGCTCAAGGTGCCTAGTAGGCTAGTACCTCTCTGAATATAAACTTAATTCTTGTTCATCTACTTTTCAATTGTATTTGTATTGGAGCCTCTAGTAGTCAGCCTTTGGCCTTTTTTCTGGAATTTATTGTAAGAATTTGTTTTGGTGTAGAGTACATTTTGTAAGAATTGAATGTTAATGATCAGATTCCAATTCTTGCTCAAGGATGATAAGCAATAACTCTAATTCATGTTATTTCTCTTCTTTTCTTTTTTTTTTTTTTTTTGCTTTTCCTTTGCCTATGCTTATCAGTTGTTCTTACTTCTTGGTTCCTTGGAGAATGAATACACTAAGTATCTAATACAACCCTTCCTTTAGATGCATTTGTTTGTCTTCTGCTTATACTATTGCTTTAATGCATAGTTTTGCTATTTTCTCCTCTGGCTTTGACCATCTTATGAACATATTTGTTTATTTTAGATGATTTATTTGAAATTAGCTATTGAATTCAATCTGATACGGGTATCAGATCCATTGGTTCTGATTAACCTATCAGTTTGTGCTGGGCTACCTTGGTTGGGTTGTGCCCAGCACATGCCACTTCAGTGCATAGCTTACAGCCATGGTTGCCACCACAATATGTGAAGTTGAGGTTGTACATATTTCCCTTTATTAATTTTTCTTATGATTGGCATGTATGTCCTTGAGCTTTTCTTTTTTTTTTTTTTTTTTTTTGTCTTTCCCCCATGGTTTGGTTGCAAAAAGAAGGGAAAAAAAACCTAATTCTTTTCCTGTTTAACATATGGTGAATAAAGGATAATAAAAACTTCATATAAAGTTCGTAATACTATTTCACTTGGATTTTTATCCCCTTTACTCAAATCCACAATAGATATTAATCATCCATGAAAATTCAGTTATGCCTTGAATAATATGACCACAAAATTAACATGGTGGGGCCTTTGTGTCCATATGCACTTTTATCTGGCTAGCAACTTATTTTCTATTTATGTGAATCGTATTAATTGGTCATTCTTTTTGAGTTTCAATCAGTGACTTGATTTCATTCTATATCCCCTCTTTTCTGCAAAAATTGTATGGTTTACTGGACATTTTGGTTTCTGTAAGTTGATGGGACTTTTGTATTGTTTCCTAACTGATTTCAAGAAGTTCTTTTATTACAAAAAAGAAAAAAAAAAAAACAGTTGTTCCAATGATCATAGCACCTCAATTAGAAAAATAACAAAATGGTTTTAAAGTTCTTGAACCCAGTTATGTTGAGGCCCAAAAAACAGCAAAAGCTTGACCCAAAATACAGGCACCTAAATAGGAACCTTGTAGTTGTTGGAAGTCAATTTCTCTGTTTCCAGTACATTTATACATATAAATCTTGTAATAAAAGAAAACTAGTTGTCTTAACATAATAGTTCAGTGAAGGCTTGTTGTCTCTTAACTGCAACATGCTGTCAATACCCATATTGATGTCCATCTCTGTATGTCATTGATTTTGTGTTTCTCATGGTGCATACACTACCATACTCCTTGTAGCTTGCATAAAATTGTAAGTATTGCATTCCAGGGCTTTCTGGAATTGCAACCGGTTCTGTCCATGAGATGGCATTTGTAAATTGTAAAGTTATTGCAAATACAAAACCATTATTTTTTAATGCTCTTCTTGCTTTTCTGAAAAAAAAAACTGATTAAAATTTGAAAAAAAAAACCCTCTAGTTTTAGGATCTTTTTCAGAAGCTATTCACCTTCTGTGTGGTTTCCTCATTATCTTGGTGGCTGGTGCTATTGAAAGATATCTTTTCAGCTAGAAGCAATTTGATATCTTGAGAGTCACTGAGGTAGTGACTAGAGCAATCTATTATCAGCTAATTACTCTCAGTAAATACACCAGTAAGTCACAGTTATTTCTTCTAAATAAGCTACATTTTTAGGAGCATTGAGTTGACTGTGGAGTGTGGACCATATGTTTCCTAATAATTGACTGTAATCACCATCTATTAATCACCTCAGCATAAAAATGAAATATGTTTATTTATGGTGGTCTTCATGCAGATACCACATCAAGCCCTTTGGTATCACAAAAAGATGTGATCACTTGTTCACTTCCACCTGATCTTCTGATGCTCCTTTTTATGTAAATATAAATATAGAAACATGCATACTCTGTTTTGAAAATCTGATAAATTTCGAAAACATTGATAATAGTAGTATTGCTCTCTTTTGACATAGACATGTGGACTATATGCAGTCCTTAATTACTACTTTTGTTATTGTTGGTAGTGGAGAGTGGAGGTAGTTATTGGCTTTTTGCTGTTATTATTGTTGTTTCATAGCACATAAATATGGTCATACAGAAGAATAAACCATTTGCACCCTAACATTGAATCTGATGCAGGTGGAGTCTGTGTCATGCTACTGCAGAGTAGATGCAGGCCTAAAAACAGTTGCTGGGGCAAGGAAATTTGTCCCAGGATCAAAACTTTGTATACAACCTGATATCAACCCTCGTGCACACAAGAGCAAAAATTCCCGCAGGGAGAGGACCAGGATTCAACCCCCACTTATACCTGGCCTTCCTGATGATCTTGCTATTGCTTGCCTTATCCGGGTTCCACGGTTTGAGCATAGAAAGCTGCGTCTAGTCTGCAAGAGATGGTATCGGCTCCTTTCTGGTAACTTCTTTTACTCACTCAGGAAGAATCTAGGAATGGCAGAGGAATGGGTCTATGTCATAAAAAGAGACCGTGATGGAAGGATCTCATGGCATGCTTTTGACCCTATCTATCAACTCTGGCAGCCTCTTCCTCCTGTTCCTGTTGAGTATTCAGCAGCACTTGGGTTCGGTTGTGCTGTTCTAAGTGGTTGCCATCTATATCTATTTGGAGGCAAAGATCCACTCAGGGGTTCCATGAGACGGGTCATCTTCTATAGTGCCAGGACAAATAAATGGCATCGTGCACCAGATATGTTGCGGAAGCGCCATTTCTTTGGTTCGTGTGTCATTAATAACTGTCTCTATGTGGCTGGTGGAGAGTGTGAAGGGATCCAAAGAACTCTCAGGTCAGCTGAGGTTTATGATCCCAACAAGAACAGGTGGAGTTTTATTGCAGACATGAGCACAGCCATGGTGCCCTTCATTGGAGTTGTTTACAATGGGAAGTGGTTTCTGAAGGGGCTTGGGTCCCATCGTCAGGTGATGAGTGAGGTGTACATCCCTGAAAATAACAGCTGGGCCCCAGTTCATGATGGGATGGTTTCAGGATGGCGCAACCCCAGTATCTCTTTGAATGGGAAGCTTTATGCCTTGGATTGCAGAGATGGTTGCAAACTGAGAGTCTATGATGAAGCCTCAGATTCATGGAACAAATTTATGGATAGTAAGCTCCACCTGGGAAGCTCACGTGCCCTGGAAGCTGCTGCAATTGTTCCTCTCAATGGGAAGCTTTGCATTATCCGCAACAATATGAGCATCAGTCTGGTTAATGTTTCTAGCCCTGATAAAAGTGTGGAGACCAACCCTCAACTTTGGGAAACTATTGGATCAAAAGGTCCCCTTAGGACCCTAGTCACAAACATATTGTCCAGTATTGCAGGTAGAGGTGGTTTAAAGAGTCACATTGTGCACTGTCAGGTGCTCCAGGCATAACTGCAGGAGGTTTCTGATGATTCTGAACTTGTCTCTGCCCAACTCAAAAGATTCTCTGGAGCTTGTCTACAGAACAATTTGTCATGATGAGTTTCTTACATGCAATCAGTATGTTCACTGGTTACTGTAGGTCCCAGTCTCAATGGAGCAGCATGCTCCCTCAATTGTTCGAATGCCTGTCTGCAGTTTCAGTCAACAGTCATCTCGAAGGTTGTCTATGAAAAACGATGTTGAGAATTTACCTCATGTTAGTTGTGGGCTTTATGTGCAAGTCTGGAAGGGAAATGGAAATGTTTAAAGGAAGCTTCATCTCAATACTCCCATGCCTGTGCTCTAAACTGGGATTTTGAGATAGTATAAAATTTAATACTGTAATGAGCAACTGCCAAAGAACTGGGGTAGCAGACAGTTGGGGTTGTAGAAGAAGCCATTTTGAACATCTGTGGAGGAAGAGAGAGCATAGTGACATGCAACGCCTTTGCAGCTTGTAAGTCTTGTCATGTGGCTCTGTTGCATGCATATCTTTGCCTGTGTGGGTGGGTGGGTGTGCATGTGCGATTTTAGTCGTTAATCCTGGCATAGTAATATTTATTCTAGATTTATTATTTGTAAGAGAGATATATGTACTCCTAGAACTGCTTTGTGAATATATATGGGCTATAGAGATTGGCCAAGGAATCCTATATATTATTACATCCAATTGCTGTCGATCAACTTGCCCTTTTACTCATCTCTATGATTTGTATGTATGGTCGATATGGGATTATAGTTCTTTCAGAAAGCAACAAACCATTGAATATCCGGTTAAAACAAGTAGAACATGACATTAATGTCTACTTCACCTTGGACGCTTTTGCAGAGAGAGAGAGAGAGAGAGAGAAGCTTTAGTCTAAATGCCAGACGACATATCATATCATCATCTATGACAAGTTTGAAAGTATGCTTGCCACGCCTGCACCTTCCTGGATATGTCTTGATTTAACTTAGACATCAATTGGAAAGCTTTGACAGCTCTTCTATTATTAAAGCTTTTAGTGGCCATGTTGGCATTAAAGACAACATTGAAATTAACAGAACGTAGGCAGCTTATGGCATTCTTATTCTTCTTCCTTTCCTTGAGGGTGCATGAGCTTGGTTTCAGGTCTTCAAGGGGGACCCTGACTAGACTTTGATAAAGTTAAAAGGTCTGCAATTTGTTATTTAAATAGCCACTAAAATTGTCAGAGAAGATGAAAGCCATTAAAGATGTTCCAAAGGTATTCTACCAAGGGACCGTAGACATCATTATGGATGCTGTGGAAATCAATAGTAATTTGAAATTTAAAGTTTGAACATTTCTCGTGGGGAATTACATCCTTGGAGAAGGTTCTTTCTGGCGTTCATGGCAGTACAGGGTGGGGCATGGTGGTCTCAGCCAGACGCTGGTTTCAAACTTGATGGTTGACAAACTAGTAGCAGTGGCACAGTCTACCAACGCTTTTGGTGTTCGTTTTTCTATACTCTATTATTCTTTCTTGAGGTGTTGTACAATTGGTTTTCTCTTTTATTTTCCTTCCTTTATGTGGGTGGAGGGAAGGGTTCTCCACCAAAAAGGGTGGAGCCTCGCCACTTTACAGCACATGCTTAGGGTCCGTTTGGTTGTGGAAATAGGGGTCTCAACCGTTTGGTTGGAGGGAATCAGAATCCCATTCCTATTCTTGGTGGAATGACATTCCCACATTTGAGAGAATGGGAATGAGATCCCATTCCAGTTTATTGCAATTTCAACTCTGATTTTCATTTAAACCAAACAGGCTATGGGAAGAGATCATTCCGATTCTGATTCTAACTGCAAACCAAATGATCCCTTGATTACCTCAGAGTTGGGACATTCATAATAAATAAATAATGCACTAATGCCTCGCCCAGCTCTCTCTCTCTCTCTCTCTCTCTCTCTCCAAAGTGTTGTTCCCAACGCTGAGAAGGTAGGATTTGGCAAGATTTCCTATTGTAGGCAGTGTAGAAGGGTCTAACTGCCTTGTCCCTCATGCTCCAACAGAACTGGTTCCTGCAGCGCCCTGTAATCCAAAATGTTGGGCTGATTGCTTTTTGTTGAGACTTGAGAGCTCATGAAAGAAAAAGGTGGCAACGCATTCAACTAATTTTATTTTTCTCTTCTATATACGTCTTAAAGAAGAGCCAGGTGTTCTATCAAAGAAAAGGGCTGGTTCCACGGATGTTTCAACTTTCAACTAATCAGGGCTTTAAGTGGGTGAGGCTCCATATCTATGGAAGGGAAGCTGCTCCGTTTAAGATTCTGCCTCCGTATTCTGCTCCGTTTAAGATTCTGCCTCCGTAGTCTTCAAAAAGCTGAAAAATGCAAAGCGTCCTGGTTACAGATCTGAAAATTCCAGTGTCCATTTCTGGTGAAAGGTCATATACTCTGAGCGTACAGTAATGATTCTTTGCCATTTGGAAGTGCTTCCAGGTCAAATGTAGACCATCCATCTGCATGTGTAGAGAGAGAGAGAGAGTACATTCTTTCTGGTTGGCATGTGTGTCCACAGACATATTTCCTTTCCTTTAGTATGTGGAAATAAAACATGGGAAATGGAAGAGCTAATCACCAAAAAAAGACAAAAGGGATGCTCAACTGCTCATGCTGAAGCTGAGTGGGTGTTTTTAGTTCTGCCTCTTGCGACTGAAAGGACTAATCGGCTAATTGTGCTGAGACATTAGCATTTGTATTAAGACATCTTTTCATGTCCAACCCTGTTCGGGGCAGAGACAACTATAAGGCTAGACCTTTTAAGGCTGAGTTTAGCTTGATAAAAAATAGGAGAAATCAGAAATAGAGAGCTGAGGGAACTGTTTCTCATTTTTATCAAACCAAACATCGCATAAGAGATCGCTATTGTGCGATAACTAACAATCCATGGAGTTTAGTTTCCCTTTCCAATTCTGAAAGGTCTGATGCTTTTATGGCCGTATGCTAATACAAGTTTCAAAATGCTAACGAGAATCATCCAAATGGTTGAAAATCCAAGGTACAAGAAGCAACACCCAGAGACAGCATAATTATGCTTGGGGAATGGGATGCATTCAAATGGACTCTCCATCCATATGCGCTGGCTTTCAGGTGTCAAAATCTATAATTGTGAAGTAAAAAATAATACGATGCTACAATCACTTTCACATTTTAGTTTATGAACAAGAAGTATTCAATTAGATTTTGCAACACTACAGCAAATTGTACATCGTTGGTCTATCTTACAAATGATGATCCTACAAATATCTAATCCTGTACATGGTCAGGAGAGAGACATCTTGTAGAGTTGTTTTAGCCTGTCTTGAAGCAGGTTGCTAGATTCCATTTGGAGTCTACTTCCTGAATATTGCTTGACATTTTAAAGGAAAACCCCCTTGACACTTGGATACTTCAAAAATAGAAACCAGAGTTATTGCTGATGCTTGAGTTGTATAAATGCATAATGTTGTTCCCCAATTATATGCTTGCACCAGCAATTTCAACACTATGTCAGGAGGGGCTCCATAATAGGTTTCAAATGGGGTGTATGAAGGTCCATGGTGTATGTAACCACCAGTCCAAGAAGTGCACAAGATGCAGGAACCAGACCCAAACCATATCTTGTAACTGACAGGCAGCCCATGATCCGATGACAGCCCTTTAGGCTTGCAGCAGAACCTGCATAAAAAGGATATTATAAAAGAATAGTAGAAATTCTGAAGACAGATCTATCCAGCCTTTTTTTTTTCTTTATTTATTTTTTGAAATAACATAGACAGAAGATATCATCCTTGATGGTGGACGATGTAAGAGGATCTGTGTAGCCAACCTCATATAGTTGTAAAAAGACTTTGCTATCACAGTGAAAGTGGTATGGAGAAATGGGTAATGGTGTAGTTGGCACAAGTGTAAAGTGGTAGATATACTGTTGTCAAGATCTTTATTAATTTTATGAAACATAACCCCCAAATTCTGCAAATTTTCCAATTCTAATTTGTAACTATCTAAATTTTTATTGATTTGAACAAAATGGACATATGAACTACCATCAAATGATGAACTAGGTATGCAACTTGGGCAGGCTTGGGTTGAGATTTTGTCAAAATGTGAATGGGCCTGGCCTGGAAGCTTGGCCCTATGCAATTTAAACTCTTCAAATTGGGTAACCGACTCATACCCTGATGATTAACTGATTGCATGGGACATCACATAATCAACATAAATTTTGTTTTGGTAAGTAAATATTTATTGAGAACAGAATGGTAAAATAGAATTCATGTTAGCCGATTCCATGTAGTTGGGACAAGGCTTAGATGATGATGATGGCAATGATTTAGTATCTCTGTATTGTGAAAAACTGTGTGGTCTCTATGTGCATCCCTGCTACCCTAACCCACTGGCCGGCTAACTACTAGTCTTGCATAACACACCTTGTCCCTATGGGGGTTGAAGCCACACTGCATTATCAAAAAAAAAAAAAAGCTCTCAACTTTAAAGGACCTCAAATGAACCAGCCTCAACACATTACAACCCAACCCAGATGACTTGGCCTCACCAACAGAAACAAGAAGGAAAAACGCAGATTAGACGACTTACCAAAACCCCAAATAGAAACGGGGACACGGAAAATAACTAAAAAATATAAAATAAAACACAAAGGTTTTGTGAAATGCCCCGAAAGGTGGTGCCATAAAACTGATACCTAGGTTACCTAAAATATCATTTTTAAGTCTTCCCCATAGCAATCAAACGAAGAAAACTAGATTCCATTTTGGTCCTCTGTCCTCCCTGGCCTGCAAATCGTTGCTTTCCACCATTGTAAGTTGAGCACGGTAGTTTCTTCAACTCCCTTTTATCTTATAGTGCTGTCTTTTCCTTCTGACTTCCTTGGAAATGAATGGATCTTTATTACAAGATCAATGATAGGGGACACCAAGGAAACTACCAACCTCCATTACATATAATTGGCATTATCGGGAGACCAATTAATTCAACATTCTGTAGTTTGTAGCTAATAATGCACTGAATCAGCTTAAATTCCTTCAGGCCACAAACCCAGATGGGACTATAGGTTCATAGAATACATTCCCCCAGATCCAGTACATGCCTGGATGCGAGCTGTTTATAGACCAATGCTACTTGTTTATCAGATTCATGACCTCAAAGCATTCAAAAGGTAATCCCATCAGCAGGGAGCCTGTGACTACAGTTTTTAAGTAAATGCCAACTGCCAAGGCACATGAATTAGCTTACATGTAGAAAGATCCGTTTTGACCTTTTTACCTACTGTGAGCAGATGATAGTTGTTGGAAACTTTGAGTGGTCCGGTCATGCCAATTCTAGAGTCAAAATCTAATTACTAAATCCTAGTTCCTATGTGATCTTGATATTCCTCATGCAATGCTTTAGTAAATTTAGATGGCAATGTATCAAACATCTACAACTTACCTTAAAATGAGAAACCAAAAAAATTACAAAATGGCATGATTTTGAATTCTAGAAATCACTTAGGAGAATTTTTTTTTTCATGAACCTGAAGATAGATAAAATGGATTTTATGAGTACATAGGAATTATATTGCAAAAAAAGGAGTATACGACAGGTTTGACAAATTTAGAGAGTAAAAGCACTTCTTATAAAGAGTCTAAAAGTCAAATTCATAAATTCCCACCTTGGCACTTAAGATATTAAAAAGTAAAAACAAATGCACTAAATACTCATACTCAAATGATATTGCAAGAATCATGTCAAATTTACAAATGTTATATAAATCTAAACAAAAATGCAAACATTTTTTTCATAATAGAAACCTGTAAGATGTATCCAAAATACTATCTTATTAATAATGTATCTTTTGCAAATCAATTGTGCTTTTAATACATTTTAAGTTTAAAAACAATAATAAAATTATGTAAACAACAACTATTTACTTTGATAATTTACTTATAGGTAGCCTTTATAAACATTCATGTGTTTTCTTGTGAACACTTTATTTTTATAATATACATCTATGTCTTAATTACTGTCAAATAAGAATTAATCAATATATGCAGGTCAACATTGCATGTTTTCTAGGGATTGCTTTGTCTAACAGTTGAAAACGGGTTCCTTCAAAGTTCAATCAACATTTGTTTCATATCAATTAATATTCTGTAAGTTAGTAGTACGAAGTGTGAAATTTCTTGCAATTCTCTTAGATAGTGATGCTTAAGATATGCTCAGCTAAAGAAAGCCTTAATCCAACTGTTTGGGGCCAAGAACTTGATGCTCAAGATATGAAAACCAAGACAGCAATGAAATATATAAACATGCACTTTCAGGATCCACCAGTTAGGAACCTTGGCAAATTTTGAGTGAATTGCATCATCTACATGTCCTAGCTCTTTTGCTAGTGTGACATCTCAGATTGTCAGGAAGGTCTCTATGAAGGTTAGACGTATTCTTTTATAAGAATCACGTTGAAAATAAACTTTTCATTCTTTCTAAAGATGAAAGAAGTGAATAACCTTTTTAAACCAAATTCTTTTGATTAAATCTATTTTTGTATATTCTAAATAATATACTTTCTGATAAAAAAATAATAAACTACTTACTTTGATAGGATTCAAGAACGTATAGAGCAAGACCGCAAGAAATTTTGTCTAAGAAGCTTAATGACCCATAAACAAATGCACAGCCATTGAGATCTTCACCAACTAGAAAACTTTGCATGCTCACTCCTGTCACCTGTTAATTCAGTTAAGGCAAAATAAGTAGCAGCTATAAAGCTGGGATCTTGAAGACAATAAAAAGTAAGTACTTTTTAAGAGAAGTAGTAGTAGTTTGATAGGAAAATTTCTTTATACTCAGAAAGCATATCAAGTTTCAGTAAAACTAAAATTAAGTTGGCTACTTCAAGATCAAATTGGATACTTTTGCGGTATGATACCATGGCTTATTCCAGGTCTAATCAAATTGTCCATTCAGTATACACTACCTGACTGGGTGGCACCAAACATCTGGCATGGCTACCAAAAGACAGGATTCTGGTGTTAACATCTTATGCTTATAACCTTTGTGAACCTAAGCCAAAACTGGGTAAATTGGTTGACTGTGACCACCTAAGTCAGATATTTTCATGGATTGATTCACCACCTCCCTCATTTTTTTTATGATATTCTGAAGAAGGCAGACATGGATAGCATAATTGGGAATGCAACTAGTACATTTAACTTGACTGATAAGAGCTGTGAATGGTTTATCTTCTGATGTGAATCCAATATGAAAAGAGAAGAAAGAAAACATCTCTAAAATTTATAAGTATACCAGTGAATGCATGTTCCATTCTTTGCATTTGCATCTCCAGATCCACTACTACGTAATATGTGAAATCACAGTTGTCCTTTTAGGTAGATGTGCAGATGCGTTAAGCAATAAAAACAAATGAGAATGGAGTAAGTTCTATTTTTGGTTTTCTTTGCATGTAATATCAGATGTACAATACAGTCTAGTGCTTAAAGTTCTTATTTGTATCTACAAAAAGATATAAGGTTATGGAGCACCATTTTCATACAAGCTTAACATTAGAAACCCTGGAAATTACGAACATACCATAATTAATGCATTACTGATACCAATGATCACTGACAAAAGGTACATAAAATTGTGCATGCTACTTGGAAGAATGAGAATTCCTGCACCGGAAAATATCCAAAGAACAGCTCCAGCAGTAAAGAAGGCCTTGAGGCGTTGACCAGTCCAAGTGATCCCCTATAATTTTGATATATAATGGTGTTTAATATCAACAAGAAAAACAGTAGTAAAATTCATAAAATAAGCAAGGTTTGCTTATACTGATGACTCACAAAAATACGTTCAATTAGCGTACTGGTACTGAGTTATACCTGTAAAACTACAGAGACAGCAAAGCTGCAAATGTAGATGATGGCAGGAACCTATCCACACAGAAAGTGTAATGAACCCACTGTCATCTCCAAATGGAACAGATATAAACTTAATGGTGGTCTAATATCATAAGGTTCATGCATTTACCAAAGCTTTAGATGATTGAGCCATTTGCAGATCATTAATGACATAAAATGCAAGAAAGGCCTGAACAAAAATAAAATGGAAAAGCATCATTAATGAGAAAACAACAATACTAGAACAAATTTCCTGCAAAATCTTAACCCATAGAAAATCTTGCAGATGTATTTGGATAATAGTTATAGGAACTTCAGAAAAGCATATTTAGCAACCAAAAGAATTTCCATTCTATTGTTTATTGCCAGACCAGATTTCTTCTCAAATAAAGGAAAAGAAAACAACTCCAACCTGTGAGACATTTGTTATTAGTCGAGTCAGTACGTAAACAATGGCAACTTGATGGTATAATACTTTCTTGAACCAGTATGCCCATGAAATCCTTTGATAACTTGCTCCTTGGCTTCTGTGCTTCAATCTTCAAAATAGACCAAATGAAATGAAAGATGATTCCTTTGGACAAGTAGCATTAGATGTGAAACTATTTCAAGAAATGGTATGACCGGACAATTCTACGAACTAAAAGAAGAAAAGTAGCTACATACCTTGGTTCTTTGGTTCCAATTTGAAATATGCTTACAAAACAGCACCCGATGAAAATTGACAAATATGCAATCCAGCGGTACTGTTCATTTAATAATAGTGTAAGGTGAAACCAAAGAAAAATATAAAATTATAGGCAATTATTTAAAGTTTTTTCTTTTTCATCGATACACTTTCACGAGCCAAACCCAAGTCCCATTCTCACTGATATGATTGTCTTAAAGAAAATAGATTTCTTTTTAATCATGTACCTGATTTTCAATATCAATATGTGCTCTGGGCTTGCTAACATAGAACACTGCTAAAGCAACAGCATATAGGCTGAGGTTGGCCACCTTTAACAATAATTAGAGCAAAAAAGAGCATAATATTGGTAATAATGTATAGAACAATAAAACATGAATCAGATTCAAGATCAAGAAAGATGCTAACCATTGTAAAAGCATTACGACAACTAGCCAACACAACTCGGCTTGTTGGATTTAGTGTGATGCAATTCACCATAGACCTTCAAGATATGGTTAGTTGTCCAGAAATATATTTTAGCAAAAAAATGATGAAAATTAAGGGAGAAAATAATGGGAATTTTGCATAAATTTGAACATTTAAGCCAAAAACCATCATACATGTGCGAAACTTGGGTAGCAGCCCAACCCACATTGAAAATTGCAGCAAATATGCTGTAACTAATCGTCTGCACTATAGATGAATTGGTTGCAAAGATTTTACATGGAAGGCAAACACCAAAAACAGAAGAAAAGGAAATTGCAACCAGAACTGATCCTGCACCATGCCATCTTTTGAAATGCCCAAACCTGTCTATCTAGTTAGTGAAAGAAAAAGAGATAATTATTTTCAGCATAAGACCAAAGAAAAATACTTCAAACCAATGTTATCAAATAAATTATCAAAAAGAAAGAAAGCTAACAATTCAGATACACCAAATTTTACTTGGAAGGGAGATTGATCCTTTGTTCAACCAAGTCTAGTCATCTTCTAATTCTTACAAAGCCCTTCTCAGCATATATGAACATATTTATAAACCTAATGTTCCAAAGGCAGTGGCCACTAGGAGAATCTTTATTATAACTCAACCTTCAATCTGTTGTTACCCCCAACTGTATTGCACTCTCTATGGGATTCCACTATATTTTGGTTACCCACTTACCCCACAATTTCACTCATTTCAACCCTAGGAATACCATTATTTCAACAAACAAAACCAAGCCTCTCAAATATAAAGAGGTTCGAACTTGCTAATGTAGAAAAAGATATACTATTTGATGCTGGCCAATCCTGAATATCCAGCATGAGAAACCAAGGAAATAACTATCATCAGCATAAGAAAAATATTTTCAATTGAAATAACTATCATCAGCATAAAAAATATTTTCAATTGAAATAACTATCTTCATTGTAAGAAAAATATTTCCAAGCTGCATTTGGAAATATTTCCCCTTCTCTTTCTCTTTTTTCTTTTTTTCCTTTTTTGGGGTTCAAACTGCACTTGGAACATAAGAAAGTTTGTCTTCCTCTTTGTAATTTTTATTAAGATTATATAATGAATTGTGTTATTGATAAAAAAAAAAATTTCCAAGCTCATAATTAGGGTATGAAAATGCCCCTAGATTGAATGGAATAGCGGAATAGAATTTTCTGTAGCTAATCCTATATTGTCAGGATAGATGATGACACTGGGAACAATTTCCTCTACAGCCAGTCAGAAACACTTTCCATGATTGGCCAGACGATCAACAGATTAGAATAATATAATGAGAGCTTGTTATGGAATAACTGCAAGAAAATATAAGTTTAGTTTTGGAAATTCTACAACAAAGTAGAAGAATGATGGAGGGCAGGCCATATCAAAGAAAATGAGATGGAAAGTCCTAAAGTTCTCAACTAAGCAATTTTAGTGGAGTAAAGGTAAAAATTATGTATTCTTTCGCACTAAACACTTGGATGTATGAAAGGAAGCTAAACATTATAATATTACTATATATCAGTTAGCAACAAAAAATAAAAAAGATATGATAAGCAGCATAAATGCAGTGGAAGATACCAGCTCTCCGGCAAATATTGTTGTAAATCCATCTGCAATTTGACCTGAAAGCATAACCGTAGCTGCATTTCTGTACATCAAAATGACCAATAGAAGTATTAGAAGGAATTTCTAAGAACTACAAAAGAGCCTTAAAAACTGATAGAGATACCATAAGGAAACAAAAAGTGTACCTAGGGGACAATCCAATATCTGTTAGGAACACCAATAGATAAGTAAACCAACATGCAGATGTAATGTCATTAAGCATGTGGCCGACACCATAATAAAACACAGAAGCTCTTCCAAGGGGCTTATTGCATGATTCCTCATCTCCCATTCCATAAACCATAACAATAGACTGCTAATACCTAATACAAAACTAAATTGTCTCTAGTCGTGATAACTCCTGCATTGGAACAGACAGCAGCTTCAGGGAAGGTAGACAATACTCTCCATTCACCAAAACAGATAAACAAATAACATAAAATAAAGCAGAGGATGTTGCTACACCTACACATTCTAAAAGGTTAAGAATTTCAGTTTTCATAATGTCAAAACGTAATTCCAAAGCTCTAAATGACCTAGAAAGAGGTTAAAGCAACAGACCCTCAAATTTCCAGGGAATATAAATGGTTAAACAGTTTAGTAAAGGAAGCTATTGAAAATTTGAAATCATCTTCACATGTTCCCAGAGCAACTAAGCTTCAGTCCAGAACCCATAAGTCGTTAAACCTCATTTAAATAACTCGCATACTCATTTCAACCCATAAATCGAAAATGTCAATCCTGATCAAATAACCTGCCCCCGAGACTGTATTACTACCACGAGCAAGAGTTATACTACTTAAAAGCAGGGGAAAGAAATTGAAAGCCAAAAACATAAAGAACGCAGAGCGAGCACAAGATCTTAGACTCATTTTCAACAAACAGCACAGACCCCTTTATGAGAAGTTTTAAATCTAGAAAAACAAGATAAAACTTCACAATTAATCTAGAACAACATCAGTTAATTACCATGTAAAGAACAAATTCATACACGTCTAGAGCTGCAAATACAACCTAGCTAAATTAATGAGAACAGAGGGAAGTAATCATGTGTAAACGACGGGATAACAGCCGCATAAAAGTAGAAATTTTTGTTGGATTACCAGAAATCCAGAAATCTTGTAACTACAGAGAGAGAGAGAGAGAGAGCCGCCCGCTACCAGTCTTCCTCGCTAGCTTGCTGGTGGGGGGAGGTTTGAAAGATTCTCGATTCACGTAATACTCCCTTTTATACTACTCTTAGAATTTTTCTAAAATGACTAACATGTCCATCACTCACCAACCGTTGGTAGTTCCTTGATCATTCAACTGACACCAACCGTTGGCCGTTGCGGTATAAGAAGCAAGAGCGAGAAAAAAAAAAAAAACTTTGATCCGACGGTTCTGATTCTGATTGATTAGTTGGTGGGCCATTCTGGTCCCAGTACAAACATGATCGTCTACTACAATGGTGGGATATCAATCATCAACGGTAGATTCACAATCTTCTTAGGGGAAGACCGTCTCCTAGACATGCCTTGGTGGTGGTGTCTTAGAATTTCCTTTTCTTTTTTTTTTGCTTTTTCAGGCACTTTTTTCCTTTTCCGTAAGATTTTTCGGTATTTTCCTTCGGGGTGAAAGGGTTGGCTGTTTCGATAAAACAAAATGTGCCACATGCATGAAGTCAAGAAACCACCAAACAGGTTCTTAGGGCCTGTTTGGTCCCACATCAGAATCTCTTATAAGGATGTCAACTGTCATGTTTGGGCCGGCCACAATCGGGTTTTGAAACGGGTCATGTCGGTTTTGACCTCGTACGACATAGGTAATTCCAGATTAGGGATGGCATTTTCTACCCTACCGGGTGGGGTACCCGCCCCCTACCCTCCCCAATTGGGCGGTTTTTTTTTTTTTTTTCTTTTGCTTGAGGGACGGGTTATGGGATTCTACAACCCGTATGGGTATGATGAGAGTACGGTATTAGGCTAAACCCGACCCGCATATTGTTGGGAAGCATATAAATTTTATGTACTAAGTGTTGAATTTAATAATATTTTGAATTTTATGTAAAGGAAAATTGATAGTTTATGTGTTTTCTACGTCTTAATCAAATAATTGGAAATTTTGTAGTTTATTTATATTATTTTACTTGTTTATTGCTTATATATGACAAAAATAATAGGAAACTAAATGCAGGTTCTAAACCCAAYCCGCCCCTATCCTTGAATGCTGGGAGGTAGGGTCAGGGATAGTTTTGCATTTTCATATACGCGGAGGGTTTGGATTCTCAAAATCCAACCTGCTATGGATTTTGGGGCAGATACAGGTTTGGAGATCTAGGAAGGCGGATAGTGCCTAGAATTTACAAAACCCTCATTGAACCCGCCACATTTCCATCCCTATTCCAGATTTGGACTCACCAATTGATTTGGAACAATTAGGCATTGCCCTATTGAAATTGACAAAAACCTTATGCATGCTAAAGAGTGGATTTTCTCTTTTCCAACTGGTCGGTGCTGTCATTGAACCGAACAAAACTGTTCCTATTATTATTAGGTCGGGATCGATTTGGGTTGTTCGGAATGACTAGATACCCTAATTCCACATAGGGATGGCAACATGGTAGGTTTGGAGAGGGCTTTGTTTTGGAAGAGGGAAGGTTTCATAAATTTTAGACCCTCCCCAAAACCCCAACCCCTCTTCAAAACCCACAATTAGTTGGATTTTCATAATTCAAACCTTTCTTGACCTTACATTTTTTTATTTGGCCTTACTTATCCAATTATTTGATTAAAACACATAAAAAACATATATATATATATATATATATATATATATATATATATATATATATATATTGGGTGAGGAAAGCTTAGGGTTTCCAATTTAAAATGTAAATGTAAATGTATCCTCTGATATATATTAGTAGTTTATCTTTTGTTAAACATATTAGTAATTTATTTAATGATAAGCGCTAGGGGAATTTTAGTAATATACTGGTGGGAAGGGTTGAGTTTAGCTTATATTAGTAATTTATATTAATACTGTGTTCTACCTATATCTCTGCTGATCTTACGACTCCCAAACCCATTCCTGCCCCAAAAATCTGTTTTCCAAAAAAAAAAAAAAAATCCATTGGGTGGGGGTGCCTGCGGGTAGGGGAGAAATTGCTATTCTCATGCCATATTTGTAATATTTTATTATATCATGTCTAAATGTGTCAATTTAACAAATGGACATATTTCTTGTGAAATTCAATAATCCTCTTTAGTAATTGAGAACAGTTGAATAGGTGAGGTGAACTTGATCGGGGAGTATAAATTCTGTGRGGATTTCGGACAATATATTTAGAAAATTAATAAAATTTTCTCAAGAACAAAGCATAAATTTCCAAGTTGGGATCACCTGCCAATAAAACACACTTCAACACCCTCCCAACATGATCGAACACCACACATCTTGCCATAGAACTGGACCCACCATAAAAGCGGGACCTGCCAGTGTAGTGTCAGATCATGTTGGGAGGGTGTTGGAACATATTTTGTTGGCAGGTGATCCGGACTCTAAATTTCCTAAGTGCATTATGCATATGACCCACAAAACAGTTGAATAGATAAGGTGAAGTTGATGGCTTGTGACTCAAACTTTAGCATTGACCTGAAAGAAAGCAAAAAAACAAAAAAGCAAAAACCCTTTATCATTGACTACCGAAGGCTGGGTATGTTAATTACTCATGGCCACCCCTAGGCCACTAATATAAGATGAACCCAAGAACCCAACTGTCATTGGGGAAAACGCTAAGCTGGACTCAGAAATTGACAAAAGCCAGCCACTCATCCGCACCCACTGTGAAGCGCTTAGGCCTGAAGAAGATGAAGGCAATTTTTGGAGGTATTCAAGTGTTATCCAAATGGATGAGAATCCAAGAGCCAACAATCAAGCATTAGACCAAACAATGAATTTCGATAGACATCAAGTCATACACCAAGGACTAATGTTAAGTGAGACTAATATTTGTACATCTAAACGTACAAATATGAAAATTCCTTCACCTATTTTTCTCAGATGAATTTTTCACTCCCGACCAATGTTGAACCGACTTTTTAATTAGAATGAGAGTTTTATTTTGGGTTCATAACTTCAATACTTCATCTCAGGGAAGCCTTTTTTTGGTAAAACAGGAAGGAAAATGAGTTTTAATCTTTCATTAGATAACTTCCTGGCGATGGTTGAGGCTAGCAAGAAAGCCAGTTGCTTGGTTACCTTTACATCATTCATTGCCTTCCAATCCGCACTTTGAATGGGAAATCTTTTAACTTATGGCTTCACTCACTGTGATGGTGTTAGGTTCAGGTGCCGTTTATTTGAAAAAACAGTGTCAGCTTATTGCCACATAGGCATTTATTCTGAAATGCTGTTTGGTAAATCATTTATTAAATAAATGTGCCTTGGTCTGTGTGAGAGCCAATCATTGGGTGAAAATTCATTTTAATGTTTCTCCCAACACCAAGGTGTTTTTTACTGTTCATCTTATGTGGCATCTAATGGCGCCTAGTAGTCAAACATCAAAAGAACATTTATCAACCACTTTTCTTGTTTTTCAAGATTAATCCTGTACAAAACGTTTATTAAATAAACAGCCACAATACCAAACAGCCTGTATATTGTTTCACACCTACAGTGCAAACAATAAGTGGGGGGCATGTAAGAAATAACTTTTTTTCAATTATTTAATATCATGTTTTAGTTATGGACTGTCAGCATGAAGTTTAGTTTCTAAACAGTGTTCCTTTACCATAGCTTGTATTTTGCTGGTCAATGAACATTATGGGAAAAGACTTTACAATTTGTCAGCTAACTCAACTGTTTTTACTCTCCCTGCCGTATGGCTATAGACAACATGGGCTCCTAGTTTTACATTGAATACAATTCATCTTTCCCTGTTGAATATCAAAAAAAAAAAAAAAAAAAAAACACCACAAGTTACAAATGATCATCTTATTAATGAATCTTACTGGTGTCCAAATTCCTGTACACGGCTATCACAGCTTCAAAGAAGACCATAGTATATAGTACTTAACGTGTTCCAAAACCAACTCTTCCCTCTTTCTCTTCTTGACCAAGCACTCTAATATTTGCTCTTTCAATGACAACATGAAAGAAAAAGTGAAAAAGATTGGGGGCAAAACAGGATGAAAGAACAACTCTGGAATACATAGAAGAGTCTAAAAACAAATCTGTGTAGCTAACCTGACTCCTGGCTAGCAGCAGAAAGAAGTTGCCTGACCTCAGAATTCATTTGAACGAGAAGTTCAAATTTAATTATTAATACTCTCTTTAATAACTGTACTTGCCTCAGTTCCTCCCCATAAATGGAAACTTTATGTTATGAAAACAACTGAAAATAGGGGTTTGTCCATTTCAGTGCTTCACTTTCCAGTTTCAACTACGAAGCATGATACCAAGTTGTGCTGCACATGGTGAAATGTAATCAATGGAGCCTTATCAACATTAAGCCAGGAGGGGTTCTGTTAAATGTTTCAAATTGGGAGTTTCCAAGTTTATGGTGTATGTGACCAACACCCCAAGAAGTGCACAAGAAGCAGTGATGAGACTCAAACCATATCTTGTAATGGATAAACTACCAATGCTGGAGAAATCTGCATTAATAGATACAAAATAGAAGATTCTCAGCGAAGAGGGACCATGAGCTCAGAAATAAATCAATTCTTCATCTTTTCACCAAAGAAGTATACCATAGTGAAGTTGCAATTATGCCTTTGGTGATCCATAAACCTTAGAAGTAGATGTGTGGTGAATTATAGACCAAATATCAGAAACCATATGATCCTAACTACAATGGCCATTTGTTTGTTTTGGAAACTGGTTAGAGCTATGGCCTATGGGCAATACCATGTTTAATTGTTGACCGGATGTATGGTTAAAGTTACCCAATTTGAATTAGGTGCCCAATTAATTGGATRTTCAGGTTTGAGGTTATCTATACGCTTGGCACCCAATAATAGATTTATTATACTACATGATTCTCTGTTTATTATTTGACTTGGGAAAGGGGACGAGACAACTGAAGGAAAAAATTAAAAACCAAAGAAGACAAAAACCTCACAAATGAAATATGCAAAGACACTTTAACTGAAAGAGATAAAAGCATTTTAACTTCAGCAGCTAAGAAACCAGTGAAAAATAGATAGCATATTGAATATAGTAGAGAGAATTGAGACCCCAAATACCATTGGTTGAGCTCATGATCCAAAATGCTGAACCTCAACTCAGTTTTGATTTTCAATTAAAAGGCAAAGAACAAAAATTACTGAATCAACTCTACTTTATAAGCAGATGCCAGAAATATAAATGTGTGGTGGCTTATGACACTGTTTAGGAAAATCTCCCAGAACAGAAGACCTCTTTCTGAAGACTAGGCTTTTCCTATGGTGGACTTATGATACTGTTTAGGGATTATATATTGTCTTTCTTTTCTGAGCCACTGATGGAAATTCTCAGTGACTTCAATATTCCTATAGTAAAGTGTAGAGTGACTGCAGTTGTAACACAAAAATACCAAATAACTGTACAACTAACCTAACTAGAAAAGCAAAAGAAGAATTCAAAAACTAAACAATAAAACAATTTTGGCATCTGTCATTGATGTATTCTGCAAACAGTATCTAGAAAAGCAATATGGCTTTTATGCATTTTTCGTCTAATATAATTCATCTAAACCAAGTGAAAGAAATTAAAATTTCAAAAATGTTCTTTGGAAAATAAAGAATGGATAAACCACCCACCTTGATAGGATTCAATAACATATAAGGCAATTCCACATGACACTTTGTCCAAGAAGCTCAATGACCCATAAACAAATGCAGAACCATTAATATCTTCCCCAACTAAAACACTCTGCATGCTTATTCCCGTCACCTGTTATTCCAACAAAGACATAAAATTATGGCTGATATGAAGTCGGGATGCATAAACCTAAATGAATCAGAAAGTATGTGGCTTTGAATAATAAGATAGAATGGCTTGAAAGTACAATTGTTATATGCACATGTCATATTGTGCAGAGCAATGCAAATGTATTTCAAAGTTTGTAAGTGCCTAAAGTTCCGGTATGTACCATGATCCATTACTGATTACATTATCCCAGATCTTTTGGTGATAGAGTGGACAGGACATGTAAACAACTTCCTACACCTAGCTCTGCCATTGACATACCATGATGTGAAGAGACTGGACTCTGGAGCCATCATTAGACAGTTTCCACCTTCCAGCCTCATAAGGAACTCAATCAGATGAGTCAGTCATATGTCCTGTATAAGGTGGTATTTGGCACGTCTTTCGGTCTGCAGGAAGTTCAAAAGACCAAAAATGGTCTTTTCCCGTTTGGTATCGCGTAAGACCCAAAGATGAGCATGCAGAAAGACCACAAAAGCCAAGCTGTTTTTAACAGCCCGGTAGACTATGATGCGAACCAAACAGTCTTGGTCTTTAAATACAAGATTCCAAAAGCTCAGTGCATCTTCTCATCTACTGGGCTATTGAAAGGATCTACCTAGAAAAATTTGCCAAAAAACCCTAAATMTTTTTGAGCATTAACCATATTTTTTTTTACTGTCCATAATAATGTGGTTATCAGATAGCATTATTTGAATCAAATTTAGCATAACAAGGTTATCCATGCTCATGCATTTCAGAAATCTGACATTAAGCATATTGCAGTTCCATCGTAGATTGTGATCCACCATTACCTAAGTTAATCGGTTAAAGATAATATTACTTTTCATTAAATAAATGGCAAGGGAAATATATTTCTTTGCTGGACTTATTTAAGATTGTATAATCTGTTGCCTCAGGCACTCAACTGTGTTTGAGAAATTATGAGGTCCTTAGAAAACAAGATCTGTATATGCATAACTGAAGTTAACAAAGATAATGAGACTGAACAAAAATCGTACCGTCATTAAAGCRTTGGCAACACCAATAATTACTGACAAGAGGTACATCAAATTGTGCAGGCTACTTGGAAGAAGAAAAATTCCTGCACCAGAAAATATCCAAAGAATGCCTCCTGCAGTAAAGAAGGCTTTGATACGCTGGCCAGTCCATTTCATCTCCTATAAAATTGATATATAGTGGTTTCAGTATAAGAAATAATATCAACAAGAGAGAAAATGTTCTTTATCTTCTTTGATACAATTGAAACATAAAAGATGCTTCAACTAGAAAACTGAAACTGAAATGACAGACCTGTAAAATGACGGATACCACGAAACTGAAAATGTAGATGATGGCAGGTACCTGCAATACGTTATTTAAAAAATAATATTAACCCCCCAGTTTCTCTAAAAATACAGATGTAGAATGATGAAATGTAGTGAGATGGGCTGTGGAAACTTACTATAGCCTTGGATGATTGAGCCATTTGTAGGTCATTAATGACATAAAAAGCAAGAAGTGCCTGACAAAATGCAATACAAATGTAAAAGACAAAGCAATATGAACCAATTCCTAGCAGATACCTTTCCATATTATAATAAATGCAACAGAGAAGCATCTCTGATAACCAAAAGAGAGATGCCTTATTTTTGAAATGTCACGTTCTGGCAAACAATTTGTTCTATAAAAAGTAGGAAGGAAAAGAATACTAACCTGTGAAACATTTGTTACTAGTCGAGTTAGCATATACACAAGAGCAACTTGGTAGTATAGAACTTTCTTGAACCAGTCTTTCCATGAAATCCTATGGAGACTTTTCCCCTCTATTTCTTGCCTCAATCTTCACAATAAATCACATAACATTGAAATTTTATTATTTAAGTGGCATTAACATGTAGGTATTAAAAAATGAATTTTTTTTACAACTATTACTAGAAATCATATGTAGCGCACCTTGGTTCTTTGGTTCCAACAAGAAATATGCCCACGAAACAGCAACCAATAAGAATTGACAAATATGCAATCCAGCGGTACTGCTCATTTTACAAAAGTAAAGTTTAAGAATGCAATTGAAATAGCATATATGTAAGATACATAGTAAGTTCATAGCTTTTCCCCTTTTCTCTTTTGAATTTAAGCATTTGTTAAGAGGCAAGTATACTACAAACAAGGTACCTGGTTTTCAATATCCACAGGTGTCTTGGGTTTACTCAAGTTGAAAACAGCTAAAGCAACAGCAAATAGGCTGAGGTTGGCCACCTTCAATAACAAAGGGAGTAATAACAAAAAGGATCAACATTAAAAATTTGTGCAGAATTAAAACAAATACAAAATCATGATTGATAACGATGCTAACCATTGTAAAAGCATTTCTACAGCTAGCTAGCGCAACTCTGCTTGTTGGATTCAGCGTCATGCAATTTACCATAGACCTTCAGTGAGAATAAATATTGTTAACTACAATGAGKAGAAGTCTACAAATTGAAGGGAAAAAGATAGTGGAGCTGAACAAGCTTGCAATTTTAACACTTTAAAGGCCAAAGTTGTAGGCTAAAGTGAATAGAAAATAACAAATCAAGTGGCAACTTCAAGGCAAGAAGGGTAATTACATGTGTGAAACTTGAGTAGCAGCCCAACCCACATTGAAAATTGCAGCAAAAATGCTGTAACCAACTGTTTCCATTGTAGCTGAATCGGTCTTAAAGATTTTACAAGGTACACAAACACCAAAAACAGAAGAGAAGGAAATAGCAACCAGAACTGATCCCGCAATATGGCATATTTTGAAATGTCCAAACCTGTCAATCTATCATGTAAACAAAAGAACATTCAGTATTGCTTATAGTAGAAACTTTTAAATCCCAGTTCAGAAATTTAGATGCATGAATATCCCACTTAAGAGAGAGAAGCCTATCCTGTTAAATTTGAGCGAACCATGCGAAGTTGATTCTTTGTTCAGTTTTTTTAGCTATGTCTTTTAGTCCTTCTAAGGCCCTTTTCAGCCTATATGAATATGCACCTAAGGCTAATAGAGAAGGCAGGGGCCACCATAGGAACTATATTCAGATCATACCATTGACCCATTTATGCACTTTTCCTATCATTTTTCCCCAACCCCACTACCCACCCAAAAATAAATAAATAAATAGATGAAAAAGGGGCATTACCCAATGTAGGTCATAGATATCCATGGGAGGAGTGGACTGGTTATGGATTTAACCTTTGGCACTTCCTCGCACAAAGAGGCCATTCTCAACCTGAACCGAGCAATGACCCCTACCCACACAAAAAATAAATTAATAAAATATAGCACTGTACTTGCTCTTCCGCCACTATTTTGTTGTTTCATGCATTGTTTCGACAAGAAAACTAAATCTTCTCAATAGAATGAATAGATGTATATGTATTGAACATATACAACATATAACTGGATTGAAAATGGTAAAAACCAAAACCTTTTTTTCTGTGGGTATATCAATTCAAATAAAGGATATCGCCAGACCATTAACCATCAGTGGGATTTTACCAAATATTTTCCACGAATCCTATTTGATGTTTTCTCTTGATGGAGTACAGGCAAGGATTAAATACACCAGAATTGGAATATTATTCATGCAGCTTATCCTAAATGGTTGGGAATCTTAGTCAATGACAGTGATAAAAAATTTCCCCAATAACCATAATTCTCAAGGTGTTGTTAGAAGGGGCTACATGTTTAAAATAGTGTATCTAAAATAAACTCAAAAGTGCATAAAAAATTAAAGAAAATGAGATATGAAATCTAGAAATTTCTAAACAAGGCAATTTTCATGTTACAGATACTGGCAAAGTGTTCTAAGGAAATAAAATATGCCTCAAAAAATGACTATCTTCTACTGATAAAAAAAAAAAACTATCTTTATCAGCAAAGAAACTAAATGAAATGACAATCAGCATAGGTTCATCTGGTTGTACCAGCTCTCCAGAAAATATAGTAGCAAATCCATCAGCAATTTGACCAGAAAGCATAATAGTAGCTGCATCCCTGTTCATGAGAATGACCAACATAAGGACTAGAATAGACTCCTACTGAGGTTTGCCACCTTATCTGATATAATACTGCAATATATATTATGTTAAAGTCCAAAATGAGTAATAAGAATTAAATCACTATCTTGTAAGAAGCATAAAAGGATGAATTTACTACTCATCAGTGCATCATCATCTATGGGCAGTATAGAAGACTGTTATTGTAAGTGAACAAATGCCAATTCTAATGAGCAGGGAATTTTTTGATAATTCTATACTACTATCAGTCTTAAGTTAAGAAGCCCAGGTATGGAGCCTAAGATTTATAAGATTCACTGCTACAGGATCCACAAATTTTGCAAGAATTGTTCCTAAAATATCTAAAAATAATTTCTTCTTTACCTTTTGACTTGTATCTTTATATAAATTTGATTTATTCAGTTTGTGTAATAATTGAAATGTCCCAAGAAACAAGAATTTGCTACTTTATCATCAATATAGATACCCAATTTTTTGTCGGTAACATACATTTTATTCAATTACAGTAAGGAGAAAGCAAAAAGTATACAATTAAAATGTGTGTACAAAAGGGGGAGTCCAATAAAGCTTGGATAAACAAAGTAAACCCAAGTAAACACACCTAATAAGCTCAAAACAATCAAAAATACCAAACAAAATCTATCCCAATGAATTAGCTTCATAGCATTTGGTAGCCATCCTCATCTCCAAACAACTAACAATGATGAATCAATCTCATAGGCTTGTTTATTGCATCCTTTTTCCCCCTGCCAATTAGATTCTTTATTTTCAAGGTAAGAAACAAGTTTTATCCTAGCAGTAGCTCTAAATTCCTGCCCATTATTTTATGATGGATATGACACTGAACAGAACAGAATGGTGAAATAGGATTCATGTAAACAACCCCATATAGTTGGGACAAGGCTTAGATGATGAGTAGTTCTAAATTCCTACCACATTGTTCCTGCATAAATCAAGAATCAACTAAGAAGACAAAATTTTGCATAAATCATATGTCTACTGATGAGACATGAGTCCACCAATTGATAATCATAATCAAATGTTCCTAGGATAACCAGAAAGTACCTTGGAGGCAGTCCTATATCTGTGAGAAACACCAATAGATAAGTAAACCAACAGGCAGCTGTCACGTCATTAAGCATGTGGCCAACACCATAGCAGAAGACAGACCCTCTACCGAGGGGTCTAGTGCATGATTCAATATCATCCATACTATAAACCGAAAACAGATGAACTTATTGTTCCTTGGAGCAGACTCAGTTGTCTACCAATGCTGAGAATCCTGCAGAGGACAGATGGAGGCTTTAGAAAGATATGCCACACTTCCAATTCGCCCCAGAAAAGATGGATAAGCAACAGAACATGGAACAATAAAAAAAATGTCCTACATTCACATAAACAAATCATTTTCACACGTACACCAAGTTGCAGAAAACAGGTTTTCAAAGAGAAAAACCATAAAGCATTAATATATATACCTACAATACTAGGACCATAAACTAAAATTGTCAACCTTGATCGATCACACTTGCCCACATTACTATTTATGACAAAACACAAACCCAAAAAAGATTCAAACGACCTTCTTTACGAAAACTGTTCCATGGCATCTATAAGAAAAGAAACGCTTTATGGGGGTTCATGGAAAGTATCAGAAAGAGGAAGACTAACCCTTTATACATAGAGCATAAGCTAAAGAACTAGTTCATACGTATGTGTAGATAACAATACAAAACTATACGACACATGAGAGAGAGAGAGAGAGAGAGAGAGAGAGAGAGTGGACAAAGGATTGGAGGGATTACCCAGAAGAAGAGTTGTGTTGTATCACGTATTGAATTGAATGAAGAAAGCATGGAGAATTGGAAACGCTTGGCGGTCTGCTGGCTCTTTATATAGGTGGTGTGTGAGAGACGGACTGTGTGTGGTGGGGGCAGAGCCGCAGGCAGAGGGAAGTCGGGTTGGCACATCCTCATGCCACGTCATTTCTCTATAGCTCCATCGGTTCTCTCATCTTTGTGTGGAGATTTTTCTTTTTCTGTAATTTCGATTTTTCTCTGGTTTGTAGCAGATCGACTGGTCCGAATCTTCGTTCGTCAGTGACGACGTCAAGAACTAATAAAATAATAAGTTCCATGATCCGATCACATTCAAACCAATTATCATGTTAGTGAATCTGCGACTCAGGGTCACGAATCATGATACCAACCAACACCGGTTAAAACATAGAGTTTAGCTGTTTAGATCGACAGGCAGAGAGATTCTTGATCCCCTGTGTTTTGGATCTTGTTCGAGAGAGTAGGCGTTTCTTCCCAAAACGTTGCCGGTTAGGCTGCATTTGGCATTCCTTATTTTTAGGACTTATCGCAGTTAAGGAGTGCCAAATGCAACCTTACTTAGGCCCATTTTTCACCAAAACGTCAAGAAATAATACCAATACCTCAATTATTGGGATAAAAAGGGATGAAGGAAATATCATTGTGGAGATCGAATTCAGTCCTCACAAAACTGTACTTACAATTATGTATCGGAAATGTCTCCTCATGAATAAAAAAAAAAAAAAAATAGAAATTTTAGATGCACAACTGCAAAAGGCTGTGACCACGGTGTGAAGATGGTTTTGTGAGGATGAAATTCCAATTCATTGTTTGAAGGGAATAAGGCTGACGTGGACTAGGGAAGTGAATGCATGGAAGCACAAGCTCAATCTGGGGGTGCACTATCTGGTGGATGATGATGTGGTATCAAGATTGGCCTAATAATAATCTCTTCACATGGGAGAAATAGGTGGAATCATCATCTACAAATTTAAATAAATAAACAAATCTCAAGGAAGGAGACAAAAGAAGCATAATCAAATTTGATTAATCCAATATTTTTTTCAAATAAATAAAATATTTTGTTTGTATGCTTATAATTATTTTGGCCTGTTATGTTTGAACTTTGAAATGCTTAATTAATATGTCTAGAACCTCTCCTACGTACACACATTAGTGTCTTATAACCCAGACTGTCTTGGCTGGGTGACGGTGTAGTGGCGGTTCAACCAAGTGGTTTGTCTGTACCAAACAAATAAACCATCCAAATTAGTCCGGTTATAAGTTTACTGGTTCAACAATCTCATGCGTGGTGCAGTACAATTATCGTGGAAATCTCATAACCCTAGAATTGGATTATATACACCCAATGACCCAATCAGGTTAGAACTTAGAATTACAGGATTAAACAATAGARTCTAACAAAAGCCTCACAATCTTTCCCAGATTGTTCTTTTCTTTGAGTTTGATTTTAAACAAAATTTGATTATTCTCTTTTCAAAGTTTGATTTTGAACAAATTTCAGATTGTCATCTTTTCAAAGTTTGATTTTGAAYAAAATSCMGATCACTCCACCATTACAGCCCCAGCTCTTATTATATGATCAGAAACCAATCCATCTGCAGAGTGTTAATCAAGGATCTCCTTTGACATGAGTAGGAACTTAGACAATATGAAGCCCCTGAAAAGAAAGACCATTGTTTTCAAACCGCCCTTGACCTGGATGATTGGACTGTTCATCCAGAGAATCGTTCAGGCAATCGGTTCTGTTTCACTCTTAATCTGGTCCTTGACAATAAAACCATTAATTTGGTCAGCGACCTGCTGACGACCTGATCATTAATAGCAGTTGTTATTTTAATTATTTTTAATTTAATTAGAATGAACCATCCATTTGAGCCGAATAATCGAATCGCCAACCCGGAAACTAGTGGCCTAACTAACTCTCACAGCTCATCTTGTATTGCCACATGTCTAAATCTACCCGTTTGATTTCTCTTTATCTTTCATTCTTTCTTTTCCTCCAAGAAAGCATAGTATGGGTTATTATATTATATGTTAGTACAACGACCATTGAAGAATCTAAAAAGAATTGTTCAGAGTTGTTTGTCTCTGGTGAACCAAAATTCAAAATTTTTCAGAAGGTATTTCAGTCTATGAGTGCAAAATGTCAAAAACTAAAATTTGGGGTTCTCAATTGTGTTAATGAATAGGAATTGTAAGACCATTCTTACAGTAACACAGTTATTACTACCTTRTAAACCAAGTGATATCTTAGCATGCAAAATCTTTAAAATGAAAAGAAAAAGGAAAGAAATTCCTATAAATTCACATCCAAACACCTACCTCCAGATTCTTAAGAATATAAGAAACATAAAAAACAATAATACTTAGGTTGTGTTTGGTATCATTGCTGCTTTTGCTTGAAATGTTTTGGGTGGAAAAATATGTKTTGTGATGAGATCATGTATAAGACTCAATCCAACTAGAAAAATGCATGTATGGGACTGGTTGTTGAGGCTAATAGTTGAAAACAGTAATTTGCATGATCAACCCTAAAACCTTTAGATAAAAACAGCAATGGTACCAAACACAATCTTAGTCATCGCTAGGGTTATATTAAAAGTAAAACATCATTAGTGGTGATTATTAGGAAAATGACCCCAGGCACTTTATCATTTTTATTTCCATGGTGAAAGATAACTGGGAGATAATTAATTTTTCTAGTGATCATGAAGATAAACTAAGACGGACTAATGCACCAGACAATGGAGACTAATTGAATTTGACAAAGAAGGAAGAGAGTTAGAAGGTTCATTTTTTGTTTTCATTAATATGTTTTTTTAAAAATAAGTTGGTTTTGTTTCAAAAAAACATTACTTGTTTTCGAAAACAAATTTCATATCAGTACWCGTATTATATAGTTTATAGAACATGATATTAAATAATCAGATGAAAACATGTTCTTTAAACCAAAAGTCCAACAAATACATTCTCGGTTTCAGTTTTGAAAACAAAAAACACATATACAACATACAAAAAACATATTTTCTACAAACTAGATGATTTTGATTTGTTTTTGAAATTCACAAAAAAACAATTCACACTAGAGAACACCCACTAATTTTCCATTTTGGGGTGAAGTACAAAGCATGAGGTGAGCCTCCTCAGTAGTACTAATTCTCCTTGTATATATAAAAAAATGTGTACTAACAACTAATCTTGCTAAAGCCCTTAAAATAGTGTWATTATTGTTATATAATATGATTGTTCACAAGTTGGCTGCAGAAATATGACCTAAGATGATTAAGAAAACATTGTTTGAAAAAGGCATTGGCCTTAATTTAATTATTACCAAAAGTGCAAAAGATCCAATGCCACCAAAACAAAAAAGTGCAGGAACTCCAACTCATGGTGGGGACCTCTGGGCTGACATGGATAAGATATTTTATGGGCCATTTGGGTTTTCCACGTCATCTTTCCATGTGGCAAAATATAGAAAAAAAAAAAAAGACCATGATGGAGAAAGAGAGAGGGGTTTCAGGATTATCCTCTTCAATTCTTAACTTCTTTATTAATTTATTCATGACAAGTATATCCTTGCCCCAACTACATGAAAGGAATATATTATTTGTCTTCCAAGTGAGATGCAAAAGAAAACAGAATTGCTACATCTCTGCTTATCCTATTCGCATTTTATTACGAGGGGCTCCCACCGGATTGCTCTCCCAAAAAAATACCTCCATGGTCCATAGTCCATACCATCATGTTACAATGGATTCCCATGGGATTCTTCCTCTCTTAATAGACCTCATCCATAGTCTAATTAGCAATTATATATGTTAAGATTTGTTTAACATGATATTTTTATTTCTGTTTGTTGAATTGTGTATTGAAATGTTTTTGTTATGATCTTTCGACGTCTCGATTTGCATTAATAAAGAAAAACCCAAAAACAAAATTTCATAGTAGTGGTATAAATCAGATCCATTTACAGCTTATTATATGGATTCAGCCCAAATACATTATATTGTTGTTGAGAGAGAGAAAGAGTAGAGCTTGGGAATAGTCTATAAGCTGAATCATGTAAATCTGTTTTGTGTTATTTTATTTTGCATTTTCGTTTTATTTTTATCCGTTCTTTTCAATTCATTTTCAATCTTGGATTTGTTCCACCAAATACAATTTTATGCTTTTTTATGTCAGTATTTTATGCTTATTTATTGACTAGAGATAGAGACAGGAGCTGTAGAAATGGATGATGATTTGATGACGGGTGGAGATGGAGCCTAGCTAACAGCCTTGGATAGGATTATTAAGTGGTCCAAAGATTCACAATTTTTTTTTTAATAAACCCACAGAAACCTTGTAAACTACCTAATATAACATGGTTTTGAACATTTCTTTCATTAATAGAATTCAACCAAATAAAGTAGGAAGCCCAAAGAACTGATGTTCATTATTATACTTGTTATCTGTTGAGACTTGAGAGTTCCTTTCTATCAATTTTGTTTACTCCTTTCGATGTCTATAGCTTTGGGATGTTTGGTTTTATTGGCGTTTATTGAAAAAACATCGTCACATATGCATTGACGCTTATTGAAGATGAAGCAAGCAAAATGAAACAATTGTTTAGTTTTACCATTTATCAAATAAAGAGTAGAAAATTGAAACACTTTGACTTTTATGCATGAGACATTTGGGGAAACGTCAAATTCTTATTTCCCCCAACACCCCAGTGTTTCTTGAAACCAAATGCTGATGTRACACACTTTAATGAGTAATAATTTGAGGTGRAGAATAAAAAATGTTTAAAGTGAAGTTCAATCAAACAACAAAAATAGGAAACTTTTAAAGTAAAAAACGTTTAAAGTGAAAGAGTATAAATAAACTGATTGTGCACGATTTGAATGCTCCTATCTGGAGGGTTGCTTGGATGTTGATCCGCTTAGTTGGTCGGTCAAACTGCAAAAGAAGGCTCAGAGGACCTGGGGTGGATTACTCGGTGTGGGTGCTCCGATGCTTAAGTTAGTAATCTAGTATGTGAACTGAAAGCTTGTATGCTAGAARGCTAGTGAGCAAATAATCATGCATACCTTATGACGTTGGGGTTAGTGCCATTATATAGGTGAGTTGTCGTAGGTCTTATGAAACAGCTTCAAGATCCCCGGTCCGTGCTATTAGGAATCTGTTCCACACTTGAAGACGGCCTTCRTGTGAGTTGATAAGGCTTATCGAGTCCGTCCGATCCGAGCGGGATAAGGATAGGGCATGTAGACATGTAACGTGATCCCGGAGAGGCCGGAGACAGCTGGTTAGCTTCTAGAAATTGGCTATGTGTCACCTCAGCAGGTCAGGCCATCATCAGTTGCTCAGACCTCGGTCTTGACTGAGGTTCCTGAGGTACCCATGACCTGGCTCACTGAGGTGGTAGGAAATGCCGAGTCATCATCCAGTCAATAGTCACTTCCACGTGTCTGGATGTTGATAGGCCGGGCCAAATTACCCCTCATCATAAACGTTTAAAGTGAAAAACTACAAATAAACGCCCACGGAAGAACACGTACTTAGTCTTATG